TACACATCTTCGTTAGATTTTTTTTCTTCTATAAAAGTAAAAGAAAAATAAAAAACTCGTTAAATGTTTATTATTATCATCATAAAATGATGACATTGGCTTATCGTCACAATGATCACTAAAGAGAGAAAAAAATATGTTCATTTTCCTAGTGTCAACTTATTCGAAAATATTTCGTCGGCATCACTTTTCTAAATCAACCGTATCGTAATACATATATATAGAAGCACCAGTTTCCGACTTCTGAATATATATTTTCCCGTATCTAAACGAAAATTTTGCTATATATTTTTGTTTTGATCTTGTTTCATTGATAAAAAGCGAAGGAATCACATTTTTCTACATAATATCAGTTAAATTCGAAATAAAATTTCTATAACGTAAGTCGAAATACTTTTATCTTGTTGTTCGATAGATATCAGTTAACAAAATTTTTCGTTTATTTGATCAATAAAAACTACCAAATGGCATGTTGTTCCTTTTCTTTTTGTTTGTTTTCTTTGATCTATATCAATCACCAGATGAGCTTAGGTGTATTAATTAGTCTTGTTTTTTTCTACTTTTTTTGATGTTATTCTATTGATTATTATTGTCTTCTGAATTATGATTGGTGAAGAAAATTAATAGAAATTTTTTTCATAACTATGAATAGAGATGTTCTATATCACAACTGCTATCATTCATTTCAAAGTTATTTAAAAAATATTCATCATCTAGTTATTACAAAAGGTTAAGTACTCTGAAATTTTTTTTTGTTCAGTCATTCTTTTGCTATATAATATTATTTCTAGGGATTTAAATATGGATCCATATTATTCGTCTCCAACACCATATTATTATCAATCAACATGTCCTTTACATGATTCATCTTCATCATTTTTATCTGATTCTTATATTGATCCTTATTCATCATATCCATGTCAATCAACATCGTATTATTATCCAGTATATAATGATCAAACAACATCATCAATGGGTTTTTATAATAATTCAACAACAAATACATATGTTCAACCAACATATACAATGCCACAAACAAATGTTCAAGTTTCACCAGCAAATATTCAAGTTAATCATAGAACACAATCATTGAATACAACTTTTGAATCAGGTAGGATTATTTCGCATGAAAGTTTTTTTTTTTTGATGATTTTTGTTTTTTTTAGTCCCTCGAACAGGTCGTCGTCGACGTCAACGAACTATTTTTTCCAAAGATCAAGTTGATATACTCGATCAAGTATTTGAAAGAAATCAATATCCTGACATACAACTTCGTGAACAACTTTCTCAACAACTTGATGTTCCTGAAGCTCGCATTCAAGTATGATTCATTTTAAGAAATTCTTTCAAATTTAGAAGTTCTTTTTTTTTCTTCTAGGTTTGGTTTAAAAATCGTCGAAGCCGTGCTCGAACAGCAACAAAGTCACAATATTAATATAAACTAGCCGTTGAATTTCATGCACGTGCTTTTCTGTAATTTATTTTTAGTTAATAAAATTTCTTGTATAAAAACTTATTCGATAGCTTATTAATTGTAATGTTTGATTGAAGAGAAAGATGAACAAATTTTTCTTTGCCAAAAAAAAAAAGTTTAAATATGAATGTGGCAATGTATATATCACACGCAAGCTTGATGAGAAAAAAGACATGTGTCTTGATGGCAAAAGATAACAAGAAAAGACAAGTTTTTTTTGTTGTATAGATTAATTGTAATATTGAATAAGATGAGTGATGAAGAAGAAATTTTGATTCCTAATGAACAACTTCGTTCGCTAGGAAAAAGTCGTTTTGCTGCATGTTGTGTTACGTGTAGTCTATTAATAACGTCTATTGTATGTGCAATTGTAATATATCTAACAAGCAACAGAGCTGTATCAGAATTAAAATATGATTCATTATGGTTTCCATCAACTGGTAGTGAATCATGCATTCGTCTAATCGATATTAATGGAGATGGACTTGATGATGTTATTGTTGCAGTAACTGAAGTAACAGCAATTACAAATAATATACAACATGACAAGAATAGTTCATCATTTTGTGAATCAATCAATGTAGAAGTGCCTTGTAGTGGTATTGTATATGGTATACGTGGCTATGATTTTACTATACTATGGTCATTTCGAGTTAAAACATCTATATTCGAAATAGTTTGTGATGTCATCGATATTAATAATGATGGCCATCGAGATTGTATTGGTGCTGGACGACAAGGTACATTAGTTGCATTTGATCCTCGTATTGGTAAATTGTTGTGGCATAATAATAAAATAAAATCAAAACATTCATTATGGAATTTTTATAATCCTCTTATACTTCCAGTTGATGTTGATCATGATAATATAAATGATATACTTATTTCACATGGTGGTAATCCAACAATACCATCGGAAGTACATGAACGTAATGCTAGTTGTTTATTAATTATTTCAAGTCGTACTGGAAATCAAATAGGTGAACCATTTTGGATGCCAGATGGAAAAGAAACATATATGTCACCAATTTTATATAATAATTCTACAATACTTTTTGGTACAGGTGGTGAAACAGTATCAGGTGGATTATACGGTATATCAATAGAAAATATTATAAAACAAAATAATTATTATGTAACAATTTTTCAATCATTTGAAAAGGGTGTTATGGTACCACCGATTGTTCTTGATATTGATCATGATGGAATTGATGATATACTTGTAAGTTGTTTTGATGGAACATTAGAATTAATTAATGGAAAAACAATGAAACCCATATGGACAAGAATATTTCCAGGATTTGAATTTTATGCTTCACCAGGACCAGGTGATTTTAATAGTGATTCATTTGTTGATTTTATGATTATACTTAATTATGGTAAGAAATATTATTATTATTATTATTATTGAAGAATAAAAACAAAATAGGACTATAATTTTTTATTTTATTTCTTAGGTGAATGGGATCGATATAATTATAGTGAAATATTAATAATTGATGGTTTGACAGGTGAAACAATTTGGATAAAAAATAATACTTTTGGAGAATTTTCATCTCCATTAATATTACAAATGACAAAAAATGGAAAATATCAAGATAGTTTCATTTATCAACAACGTGGTCAAATATTTGAAAAAAATCATTCAAATACATCTTCTATATTATTTCATGGAATTGGACTTCAAGATGGAGAGATTTATAAGTAGATTATTTGAAATTATTTTTATTTCCTTTTCTTTTTTCTTTATTTTGTTCTTTAGAAATGAAAATTTAGTCTCATTGAATACAAATTATTCTTGTGATCAATTTACATTAAATGGTTCAATTGTGAATATATATTTAACAAATATTGAAGAAACTCGATTAATAGGTTTAATATATCCTCCTATGAATAAGGAAAATAATCTTTGTAGTGATTATGAACCTATGGAACGATCTGGAGGTGCTATTGGTGATCTTAATGGTGATGGTATTTTCGATATAGTTGATATAACAACATTTATAACAAAATTAACATCACATAATATAGAAAATTTTGTTGCACATTCAATTTTAACAAGATTTTCATTGAATATAAACAAAATTGAAATTGAAATAGTAGCAAATTATCAAAAAGATATTTCTAATAAAACAATTGATCAAAATCTTATTAATTTATTAAAAGAAAAAATTTCTTTTCCAACAAAATCTATTAATAATAAAAATTTATATATTATTTCAAAACAAACATGGAATAGTTATTTAGGTCGATTATCCGACAGTCATTACTATCGAAATATTTAATAATATTTATTATTATGACATTATTCAATTTTAGTGTCTAATAATTATTGTTGAAAAATCGATTAAAGTTATTTTTTAACCTACTTGTATACATTTGATATTCTATGTTTTGTTTTTGTTTTTTGAAAATGAAAAGAATGATTTATTCTCATTATTTAATTCTGATTCAATATGAATATTATTTATTCAACGATAATGACACATTTTACAAAAATCACTTCAGCAAATATACAATGGTTGTTATTTAAATGACTAGTAAAATAGATGAAATAATCAATAAAAAAAAGATAGATTTTATTAGTAGAATTTTGTTTTATCCATATAAAATAGGGCATAAATGTGGATGTGGACTCGAATGGGCGTTCATTTCATTCACACACACATACGCCTTTATGATCCCTCGTGTTCAGGTTCAGTTTCATGAACAGTAACTTTTCTCACTATCTGCATGATATACTGGATAAATACCTGCTCTATATTAAAGTCCACGATTGTTGACTTTGTTGCATCTGTAATAAACTGTTCTCCCATTTTCTCTATAGTTCGTATAATATTTTGACGATGCATTTCTAATGAATGCTTCTCCTCGATCGACATTATCAAACGTAGCCTCGTTAATCCAATATTTCGATTTCTTTTTTTTTTGGCAAGGCCTTTCGCTTCCATTTATTTCATAATTTTCTTCCGCAACATCTTCATCTGATATATCATTGTCATATTGGGCAACTTGTATCATGTCTTTAAGCTAAAGTTGAAGAAAACAAGAGAAGCAGAGTACATACATGTATGTGGTACATAGTATTTGTACTACATGGTACAAGAAAAGAAGAAAACAAGCGAATCATATTTACAACGCATTTCAATCTCTATATTTATCCAGTGTTTTAATAGACCGTTAGAAAATTTTATTTACTAATTTTATAATTATTTAACTTAGTGACGATTCCATCTATTTTATTAGCTACATAATCTGTTTCCCTATATAATCTACTATTTTATTATATTCTCATTGATTTTCAACATTTAAACGTTCTCTTTCAACATGATATAACCTTTTTGATGTGCACGTCTAGAAAGAAGGGATCACATTAAAAAGATTCAAGAACTATATGTTTTTCGAATCAAACAGTAGCACATTATCAGATTGATCTCATGGTTAAAAAAAAAGCAATGAAAATTTATTATATAAATAAAATATCATGAATATTAAATATGAATAAAGGAGAAAAAAATCAAGTTTCTTAATAGACAATAGTAAGTGTTGGTGGTATTGTATGAATAATGGTTCCAGTAAAATTTCCAATGACTTGTGTCGTTAATGAGTAATCATACAAAACGTAAATATCGCCTTTTAAAATTCTAACTTGTCCATCAGTTACATTAGCTGGTCGAATATGTATTTGTGTATTTGTTAAATTTTTTAATTTATTTATTAATTGATTATCACAACTTGTAGAAAAATTTATTAAAAAATCAACTATGACTTGAATTGTACTATTTGAATATCTAGGAGAAATAAAATTTATATACAGTATGTGTATACTATCATTGATTTTTATCTTAATTGTTTTCTATACCAAACTTGTAAAATGATCTAATTGATTGTGATGTTAAGTGCGTTAGAACTGTTAGAAAATTGCGTTTATCGTTCAATTTTATGAAATGAATAATAGACAAATATATGATTCTTAATGGAAAAGATTTGATCAATAATGATTTTCAATTTGTTTGATTTATGTAAAGTCTTTGCACATCAAAACCAATGCTAAAAGTAAATTACTTAAGAAAACCTTCCTCCTCTTTTTTGACCATTTCTGGTTCTTGAAGAGGATGCAACCAGTCTATATGAAATGTTTATTGTAGATAGAGCGCACCTAAAGTAAGGAGAAACACGTTCAAGAAAAAAAAAAGCTTTGAACAAGGTTTCCGCTGTTTTTTTGGAAACTCTGATTTTTCACAGGAACATATCTAGTCTGGTTACAAACTCCGTCTAACGCTGTCCGATCGAGCTGAAAATGTTTTTAGGAGGCACCTTAGGCTATTTCTCAAAGGTGATTTGAAGCTTTTTCAAAAATCTTGCCTTCTTTCTTTTTATAAAAGAAACACATAAAGGTTTGGATCCAAAATCGGAGTACTGGTATTCAAGGCTCTACAAATCCAAATAGAACAGTTAAAAACAAAAACGACCGATTTCATTTCTGGAGAATACTTCCAAATATTTGATCTGTGGTAAGGATTTCATGCGGATAGGGCGTATCCTCTTCGACAACCAGAAATGGTCGAAAAGAGGGGAAAGATGAGTACCTTTAATACCAAAGGATAGAGAATTTTGTGCTCTATGCTTCAACGATCTTTTCAAAGTTCTCGAGGCTGGTCTGTACGAGAACACAACTGTGGGTATTTTTGAGTCCAATATGGAAAATCATGTGTTCAAAAGTCAGACTTACTCTATGAAAGATTTATTATTATGCTGTGGGATATAGAATTTAATTCTGAACAAAATAATATAAATATTAAATTGAACTGTGAAAATAGTTAGGATTGTTTTGTATTAGAAAGCAACAATTGGATAGATTAACCAGAAAAGGTCTTCTTTCTGATGCTTTCGCGTTTTTAACTTCAAAACTGCTTCTCCTAGATATTTTTTCTAAAAATTTTGAAACATGTATCTAAAGATTCAGAATTTTGTGAGATAGTTGAAAATTCGTCGCAACCTTTATTAAAAATCTTCATTAGTTAGACGAATAAGCAGATGTTCTTCTTCTAAATTTTTTGTATATCTTGAAATCGTCTATCTTTAAGCATAACAGGGATTTTTTTATGATTAAGAAACAAGAGAACAATGCACTGATAGTAATATTCGTTAAAGACTTATTTCGTCTTCTAAAAAAAACAACACACTTCTGTACATACTTTTACAGTTTTTCTCTGAAAATCTCGTCATTAAAATGACTAAATTTTGTCTTACTGTTCGTATTAATTCAGGATACATTGTAATAGCACCTGCAAGTGGAACTGGTCCATCATTTTGACTTGCTGAAATCTGTGTATTTGTTTCATCAAGTGTAGCAAAATAATTACTTTTTGCTGTTGAAACTGTTAATACATAATTATTTAGAAGAAATTCTATAAGAATCAATCAATTTCTTTTTGTAATTCTCAGATAAAATCTTTCTACTTACAATTACTAACTTGTATTGATTCATTTGTTTCTATGATATTTATTGGATTATCCAATTGTAATGAAGAAATAATATCTATTAAAATATAGAAATAAATTATTTAATTTAAAAACAAATATTTTTTGTCGTGTAATTATCTCTATATTTTCAATTGAAATATATGAAGTATAAACTATCACTGAATCAGAAAGGATATAAGAAAGATTTGTTGATTGAATAAGAAAACGTATTGATATTAATAGTTGATTACTTGAACATAATTGTTTAAAAATAATAGATCAACAATGTATATTTCATGATTTACATTCTCATGTATACTCAATCAAAAAATTTAATGTAACACTAGAAATAAATAGAAATTAAATTCTTTTTTTCTCACCTCATATTATCAGTATATGATATCATTTGTAAATATATAAATATTAAATTTATCTCGATTATCACTAGCTTTTAATTGTTGTTCAAGCTATATAATCATAATTATATTTATTTTGACTATAATTAATACAACTTACTGCATATTGAATTGATGAATTCACCTTTGATTGAGCTTCATCAAATGTTAATATTACTTTTATATTTTGATAATAATTTAAATTGAACTAAATCTCATTTTGCTAATAATCGACTCATTTGTAAAACATAATTATTCATTCTTACAGCTAGAAAAATAAATACAAGAAAAAAAAACATATTTTTATTCTTTTTTAATTTCATAATTAAATCAAAACAAGCATATTAGTTAGAATAAAACGTATTTTTGGTACTGATTTATTTTCTATATAAAGTGAAATGATTGACAAGACAATTATAGATGCCATAAGAAATGCAAAACCAATAAAAACAAACATTGTTAATGAAAGTATGATTATTTGTAACCAATATTTTCTAAGAATAATTATATGTCAACATATTCATGATCTTCATATCTAACTTACATTCATTTGACTGTTTGTCTCTTTGATGAAATCATCGTAGGATTTTTATTTGAAAATAATAATTTACTTTTTTTTTTCATCAAATCAATTGAATATTCAACAATTTATACTCTATTTCTTTTTTGTTAATTATATGATAAATGAATATATATATATATATATATACATAAATTTCGTTTTAGGTATATTTGTACATTTTTTGATGTCCAAAATTGATATGCATTATTTGGAACATCAAGATAAAAACAAACAGAAAATTATTTTATTTGCTTTTAAGAAATGTGAATGTTATAAGTAACATGGATGGTATCATATTACTTAAACAACAAAAAAGAAAAAACATGAAAGAAAGCTTTCAATGTGTTTTTATTAATGCCATCTTTTAAAGTCAAAACAAAAGAGTATAGTTGATTTTTTATTTCGCACGTATTTAAAATTTGTTTGTCTTTTTGTTTTTAATAAAAACAAAAAATTGAACTGATGGAACGTTATAAAGGATCAAGTCAAGCATCCATTGATAAAAGATCCCACACTACTAAAGAAAGTAGTGCTCTATCAATTAATAAACACAATCAAATACAAAATGAAATTGATAATCTCATTCAACAGGGAATTCTTGAGCCAATATATAAATATGATCCAAAACTTGATTCTATGTGTGTACCAATTATTAATCGTGATCAAGTTATTAGACAAACTCGTCGACAAACATGTGGACTTATTTGGAATTCAATTCGATCACCAATGATAAGTAAATTAGTATATGATGGTAATTCTTGTGCTTTTGTAGAAATTCTTCGAACACCAAAAGAATGGTCACGTTATGATATAGATCTTCTTCTGCTTAAAATTCGACATAAGAATTTTCTTAATGGACTTGCTCTACGTGATGAATTTGTTCGTATACTTCAAATTATTCTTAAACGTGATTTTAATGAAGAAACAAATAGTGAAAAAAAATATTCTTATGAATTAAAAGATGTTGATTTTACACGAAATACAATTCAATTAGTATTTAATAGTCGACAAGATATTGAATTAACTCTTATTATATCATTAATACTTTTAGTTGAATTTGATGTATCTTGTATAGATTTTCTTCATGATACATATACATTACTTTGTAATCATAATGATTTTAATGATTATTTAAAATATCATCCAGATATAAATCATACACGTTTAACACCATATAATTCAATAAAATTTCTATTTGATTATAGTTTAACTGAAGCAAATTTATGTGAATATTTATTACAAAAATCAAGTCCATTATCATTAATATTAACAGGTTTTTTAAAATTACGAAAAGAATGGTTAAAATATGTTCAACGTGCATCAAAATATGCATCAGATACAATTAAAATGCAAATACATTCAGAAAAACATCGTCAATCAACATGTTCAGTTAATTCAGTACGATCAGCAACATCTAATACATCAACAATGAATAGTAAATTTTTTAATTTAAAATTTTCATAGATTGAATTTTGTTTTTAATTTTTCTTTGTTTTCTTATTTTTAGAAATTACACAAAATAAAATTCCATTATCAACAGAAATTGAAGTAGCATTTGAATGTTTATTTTCTGTATCATTACTTCGTCTTTTATTTTTAACTATTTGTACAAAATATAAACAATTTGGTGCATCATATGAAAATGATACAGCATATGCTATTGAAAAAGCATTACAATTATATAGTGATGCTTTAGAAAATAATTATCTTGAGCATCCATTTCTTAAAAATATTAATTTTTTACCAGATAGTTTAGTAACACATGAATTAAGTATTAAAATTGGAATAAAAAGATTAATTAAAGAAATGCAACGAGATTGGAAACGAAATATACGTCGTTAGAAAAAAAAACAATAAATTAAACTTGTTTTTTTGTTTTGTAACTTCTTTTATTTTATTTTTTTGTAGTTAAATAAAAACATCCATAAGAAGTTGTTTTTCATGAAAATTATTTCTTTGTAAAAACAATCAACGACTATATATATATATATATATATGTTTGCACAAGAGACATTGTGCGTTTTTGTAAGTAATAACAGAATACAACAACACAAAAATAAAACGATAACCTTGAATTTTTGATTGTGCCATTTTGAATAAGAGAGTGCGTGAGAGAAAGATCGATAGGTAACTGTGGTTTATTTTTTGTCAACATAAAATTTACCCGTAAAACTTTCTTACATGTATATTTTTCTAGTAACCTTTTTTCACTCTAGAACAAGTCAACATACAAACACCTCCGCTTGTTTCTTCCTGCTGATACTTTTTGTAAAAAAATAACTAGGTAGCTTCTTCGCTTCGTCGTCGTCATCATCATCATCATCATCATCCTCTTCTTCCTATTTTTCTTTGTCCCATATCTTGTATGAGTAAAGAAACGACAGCGACGACCCCCTCCTCCTAACAACGACATAAAGGTGAAAAGCATAAAGAGCGTTGACGTCAAAGTAGGCAACAAATCAACGACATTCACATAGAAGCACTCATTTCATCATGTTGACAACAACAAATAACAACGACGCATTGCTCATCTAATCATATGTAGGAAAATAAGCCAAGGTAAGCTAAGGTGGTTTATTTATCATTCAAGAATTAGAAATACTTAGATAATTTATATAACAAGAAAACATTTTTGTTTGATAATTATGTAGTCATATTTAAAGATTAGTATAGTTTTATAGATCTCATCGAATATAAATATACAGGTAATAGTGTAACTATATCATCTACTTTTTTTTAATTATTATTTATTAATCATTGACTCTATTGAAACATCGTATCTTTTATATTTTTGTTTGCATCGGATTATTGTGGTGAAGTAATCATTTTTTTTTCTGTTGCTACCTTGCGATGCACAAAAAATAATCATTTCTCGGATGCCAGCCGGCGTACTTTTATAACACGCATTTTTTGATCAATATAAGGAGAAAAAACGACTATCGAAATAAAAAAAGAAAAAAAAAAGAACAAGATTAACTGAGAAAATAAATGGCACAATAAAATGCCTTTTTTTCGTTGAGTAAAACCTATGAGTTTTAATGAGAAAATAAAATTTTTTATGTTTGAAGAATTTATCGACTTTATTTTTACTAAAATAATTTCTTCTCGAATATTTCAAGATTCATAATCTTCACTTATCATCATAATGATTTTCGGAATCGATGGACATTTTATGAATGAAAAAAAAAAGATCAGAAAAAATTAAAGAAAAAAATATTACTAATCTATGACGGAAAGAAAAAAACATTAGTTGAATATGTCAGAGTGCATTATGTATATGATTTTTTTTTTAAATATAAAAAGGTAACAGGTTATTATGCTATTGGTTAGGTCTTTTTCTTTTCCAGCTTCTGAAATACAATGTGACATTACTGTAAACCGCGACGAGACATTTTAAATGATAACTTTCGATTAAGCATAGAAGATGTTATAAAGGTAAATATCACGGAACGAGATAAAGACATGACTTAACAATTCTTTTATATATATAGATATAAAAAAAATATAACAAAAAAATCATTCTCTTCTCTCATATGTTTTTATTGTGATAAAAATTCATTTTTTTGTTCTTTCGTAATCAACACGTACATACATATTTTCACTTTGTTTCCTTCGTCACAGGCATAAACAGAAATCTCATTTCTTTTCTCTTTCTTATTATATGAGTGTATGAAGAAAGGCCACATCAAACATATATCGACAAGATTTTAATACACATACATCTACTCTCTTACATGTGCGTGCAGTTCGAGTCTATTATATATGTTGACACAATTCTTGGTCGCGTCGACCACTGTTGAATATATATATATATATCTATACATATACATGTGTTGATCTTGAACTATACAACGACTATACATTAATGACAAAGAAAAAGAACGATGTAGAAGATGAGTACTATAATAATTGAAGGTACTAGCTATTATTAACTCAATCAATGAACAATCATCATAGTTCAATTTTGATCAAGTATTATTTATGGTGACATCAGATTGGCAAAATAACTGATGAATGTGAGTCTATCGATTATCCTTGACCGTATAGAAAACATAAGGTTTTTGTTTTTCTTTATGATGAATAAGTAAAGGTAATAGCTATAGATACGTACGTAATCATGTATGATTGTCAGTTTCCAAGGCTAAAATATATGTATATATATATATGTATAACAGTAAAAAGACTGATTCTCCATAGATGTAGAAACAAAAAAAGGGATTTTCAAAATAATATAAATATAACTATTCGTTATATAAGAAAATATATTCAACTTTATTCAAAAAAAAAACCAGTAAGTAAAATGTCAAGAACAAGAAGAAAAAAAGAGCTTATTTGATCTTTTCAATTTTTTTTTTGTATCGATTAAAAGGATAAGAAATGTTTATTATTAGGTGTACCATCTACTCTTCTTTGTCGGCCTCCAATGACCGAGAGTTATTTAACTACAGATATTATTGTTATTATTGTTCTAGTCGTCGTATTAAGTATGTTTTAATTTATTTCAAAAAAAAAAAAAAACAAAATAAATAAATAATTATTCGAAAATTTTTCTAGTTTTAATTGGTGCATGTGCGTTTTTTACACATTTTTATTGGACAAAAATTGGTGTTGCTGAAATATGGAATACAGCAAAATGGAGTTCAATGCGTAGTTCATTTTATAAATCAATGCGTCGTTTTAGTCGAGCAAGTAGTAATAAATTTGATTCTGAAAGACCATTTTCTGCCCAATCCGTTTATTCGGAAGATCCAGATGGTAGTGCATTACCAGCTCCATTACGAAATAAAAAATCAAATCCTGTTACTCCTTCGAATATTCAATCATCTTCAACATTACAAACTCAGCCAAAATCTAATACTACACGTCGAAAATCAAGTAATCAAGTAGAACCGGTTCCTATCGTATCATATCATAAATCTGAAAAAACAAATAATGCAACTAAAACAGGACAACCCTCCGAAAATGCCAAAATTCATAATGCTCACGAAAACGATGATAGATACCATGATGGGTCTATTATTATTGAAACAAATCGTTTTTAAAAAATAATATACGAGTCTTC